ATCCGATCTCCCCAAAACCCCAAAACCCCAAGATATGCACTATCAATTCAAGTGATTTTAATTATAGTGTTTTAAATAATGATTAAACTTTTAGATTATTCCAGAGACTGATAAATATATAGGACTAGATCAGGCAAAAAATGATTATAGGAATTTAGCAACTGAGTAAAATGGTTAGTGAATATATTTTGAATCATAAAATAATAGGATAAGATTAATTTCTCACAAGAATCTTAGGATGTTAAGTTGAATAATTTCGAGTGAATTTCTTACATTGAAGTCGTCAATTGATACAATTCTCACTTGGTTCTGGACAGCAGATACTCTTCTTACCATGTCTAAAAATAGAACATTTGAAAGTTAGGCTGAACCAACTCTAAATGCTGGCACTACTTAGTCAGACACAAGGACGTCTCTAATGGTAGAGTATCTCTTTTCGAGATTCTCCCTCAACTTGTTTCTTTTGTTTTCATTATCTCTTGTTTCACCTCTTGGCTTTTGCTTGCAGGACTCAATTTGGTTGGCGAGTCCAGTTATGTTTCTGAGAGTTGAAGTGATAGTGGTGAAGGTTGAAGTTATGTATGGATCTGACTTAATGAAATCATAAGTAGTTGGCTGGTATGTTGAATATCCACTTGAAAGGAAAGTTTGGAGGTTGTTAACAACAGCGATTGGGCTATCGGCGGCAGTGGCATTCACAGAGTGCTTGATAACAGCATTAGTGAAGGAGGAGTTAAAATCAAATCCAGTGAAGAAAGCACCACCATATGATGAAATTGGAGCTGAGAGTTTGGATATTGGCAGAATGAATGTAGCATTAACATATAATTTAACATAGTTAGCAATGGCTGCTGTGCTTGCTTACTAACCTGCATTTCCGAGTGAATTGTAGTCATGATTAATATCAACGATTAGAATTTCGCTTGGATTCTCCAATAAAAATACATTGATTTCTTTAAGACATTATTCTAGAGGAATAGAAGAGAGGTGAGAGTTTGAAAGGAATAGTTTTGTTGCGTTCTTTGGGTCACCAGCAACTCTTAAATCAATATATCTAGCTCCAAGTCTTAAGGCGCCTGGAAGTGGTTATGGATTACCAACCAAGACTTCGTGATAGATCTCTTGAATAAGTCTCCCAAATTAGTTTTAGTCACTACTATTGAATCCCATAGCAGTCAATTAGGTCTTCAAGAGAGTCTGATTATTATTGATAAAATTAAGACCAGCTCTGTTAACTCCTGGAAGAGATAACTAAGTGATGGTTTTAGCACCAAGAATAGCGTTTGTCTTAGCTTGAGTCATCCATTGAGTTAAGTTAGTGATTTATGGAGCATCTGGATCTGTGCTTAAAGACGTAACTCTTGTAGTAGTTTGAAGATCTCTGTGTCCTTCATGTAGCTCTCTGAATGAGTCTGATTCACTTTGAACACCGACTAGACTTCTGAGGAAATTAGTTTCAATAGGGCTGACGGCTTGTGAAAGGCCAGCAAAACCGACCATCATCAAGATAGATAGCATGCTTGTTTGTCTGAGCATTTTTTGAGAATATTAAAAGAACTAATATTATTCCAAATATATATACTTTAAACTGATCTATTATTAGAATTTAATTATTTGAGGTGGTTAGATTGGTATTTAAAAAGATAATATAGATTTTAAATATTGTTACACATTCTGATTTCATCAGTTCAACACTTTACGGGGTTTTGGGGTTTTGGGGTTTTGGGGTTTTGGGGTTTTGGGG